AGGATTACAGCCTTTTTGTTGTTGTTGTTGTTTTTGGAAACAGGGTCTCTGTAGCTTTGGAGCCTGTCTTGGAACTAGCTCATGTAGACCAGACTGGCCTCGAACTCAGAGATATCTGCCTGCCTCTGCCTCTTGAGTGCTGGGATCAAAGGCATGCCTCACCACTGCCCAGCTGGGACTACAGTCTTTTATCTTGTGTACATATGTATACAAATGTACCCTAGATGGATTGAGTATGTGGAATATGTGGAGATGCCCTATGTCATCAAAAGCAGCCAAAAGAACAAAAGTTCAAAAGGGCAAATATCAGTTTGCCATCCTACTTTGGATTACAATGGAGTCTTGAAATCCAGGAGAAATGTTAAATTTGCCACATAAAAGCTCTCCAGAATGAGACACAGACAGGACATCTAATTGCAGTATATGATGAGCCAGCCAACAGGTTATCACAAAAAAAGCACGAGCCATGGGGGGAAGAAAAGGAACAGAGGAAAGAAGCCAAAAGAGATTATACTTTGCCAATTACAGAGCACCTCCACTGTCTGTAAGAACTGGACAAGAACATGACTGAGTGTGGCTACAATCCATCAAGAGTCTTCCGTCTTTCTCTGTTCATCAAAACAGCTTCTAGAATAAAAAGTAGTGAGAAGGCAATCATGTACCCAGAGCAGGACTTGAATCTCTTCTCTCAGCTACTTCCATCAGCCTCTCAAGTGCTAGAATCACAGACATGCACCCCCCATTCCTAACTATAGTCATTTCTTTTCATTTTTGTAAAAGTTGCCTAAATGTTATGTATTGACTCCGTGTTTTGAACGGGTACCCTAAGATCCAGAAGAGGGTGTTGGATTCCTTGATATTGGAGTTTCAGACAGATATGAATGGCCATCTGGGTGCTGGGAACTGAATCCAGGTCCTCTGCAAAAGCAGTAAGTGCTCTTAACCATTGAGCTTTCTCTCTAGTCCTGTAGCTTTTTTTAGATCTTAAATTATAAAATACATTGGGTACAAAGAGAAGAGTAGACTCATATTTACCTCCCTGATGACAGACTTTGTCTGAGACCCTTAGCTCATTTAAATCAAAACATGATAAATTCTCACCATGCTTGTTTTTGTAATTTGTTTTATATTTTATTTCCTGCTTTTAAAATATTCATAAAAGAATGAGCTTATGGATTTAGTTTTAATAAAGTTTTAAAACACACCCAAAATATTTACCTGCACAACTAAAAATGAGAGCCCACTTTAGTCTTTGATGTCTTCATGATGAAAACTGTTTATCAAAGCACAGTCTTTAATAACACCAAAGAACAGTCACTTCTTTGTAATTCTAAGATAATAGAATTTTTTAAATCCAAAATAAAATGTTCAAGAAATCTTGTATTCTTGCGAGTGCTCAGCCCTAAATGGGGTCTGGTTCCCAGCAAGACTCAGGGAACACTGCGGAGGTGGGTGGAAAGTAAGAGGAGTCAGAAGACAGGAAGAAGTGCTATGAAGTACTGCCTGCTAGACAGGACAAACTCAGAGCAGTACAGTTATCTGCACAAGATTAAGCCAGTCATTTTCAGTTATGAACAGGATAGGGGCTCATGAAGCTCCACATCAATTAAGGAGTTACCAGCAATAAATGGCTGCAGAGGGGTTGTGGTGGTATCATTTTTCTTCCTGGTAATGAATGCTGGTAGATTCTCCACGTTCATGCTAAAAGCATTAACTGAACTCAGTGTGTTATTTAAAAGGGGAAGGGTGTTGTCTACAGAGGATGGGAGAGTTTTGAGTGGTGATAACCAAGATATGGAAGATAGATGTGTGAAATTGTCCAAGATTCAAAAACAACAAAAAAGCATCTCTCTGCTCAAGACTCTACAGTAAATCATTTTCAGTTGGGAGATATTAATGAAGAATCTACCTTACAGATAGAATGTAAGGACTGTCACAGATCATCCCAGTGGTCATAATCCTATCCTGATTCAGACTGAGATAGGACTCAGCAGGTCTCGATGCCCTCTTCATATAGTCTCAGCTAAGCCCTCTACTGCTCAAGGAATCAGCTGACTATTGAATTCTCAACCTTTCACTGTATGTAAGGCTTTCCAAAAACTAATCATGTTTTCCTATCTCATTCATATAATCCATTATGGCCCTCATCAGACTGTAAAATAAGCTTTCTTTTCCAAGTAAATCTTCTACACTAGACCATAGACAGCTAGGAGAAAAATAGATCTTTTCTATCTGCATTTCCAGAATCTTTTAACAGCATGTTGTGCCCCATTATTTTAAAAGCCAAAGAAGTGGGGTTATTAGGCTGACATTAGAAAATTAAGACAATACTAAAAGAAATGTACTTTAAAGTCTATTTGGCCACTGAGAAGTCAACCTGTAAGACAGGAAAGGATAAGGATCCACCTATGAAGTGTCCCTGTCCATTCTGAGCTAGCTGCCTCTTCCAGGTGTTCTCAAGGTGAAGCAAGCCTCTAAGAAGTGCAGGACTCATAACTAATGAGTCAACACAGTTTGGCAGCCATTGGAAATTACTTAACTTTTTCAAAGACTATCCCCGACACTGGAGAAGATATGCCCCGTTTTCTCTAAGTTTAAAACTGCCATAATAAGTTAAGGATTGTTTTGAAAGCAGAAGTATTAATACACTTTTTTAAACCAAAGACCCTTTCAGCTACTTTAGAGCACTGCTTTCAAGTATCCCAGTGTCTAACATAACTAACAAGTTTAACAAGTTTAGCCTATGGTACTTTAAAGCGTTCGAAACAAGCCTAAGCAATAGGTTCTGCCCCATGCTTTCATATTCACATATGCTTTCATAATAAATATTTAGTTGTGGATTGTGGCTACTGTTAGCCTCAAACAAAACAATCACTGACTTAATTGGGTTTCTGAAAGTTACTTGCTAAGAAAGAGACTTTTTTTTTTCTTTTTGAGACAGGGTTTCTCTGTGTAGCCCTGGCTATCCTGGAACTCTGTAGACCAGGGTGGTCTACCTCCTGAGTGCTGGGATTAAAGGCGGGCACACAAACAAATATGTGAAGTCATTGCTTGAGGGCTTATGTAGAAAAACCGAAATCTGAAGGGCAAGTAAGATGTAAGTGAAGATTGTAATTCTCCAGTTTTCCCCCAAGACTGTTTCCTTGTCTGTAAACACTCGATAATAAAACATAAATCAGTTTCTCCTTTGGTATAGTTGTACGTATGCAAACACCATGCCCAGACTGACCCTCCGGTCTTCTAACTCAGACAGGATACATACAGCAGGTAGCCACGAGCAACCGGCTACTTTTCAAAAGTAGATACTTACAAAACACCCCCTTACAACAGGCATGAGTCAAAACAGCTTGGGGTACCGACACTGTGCACATCACTCACTAGGGTCGAGCGATTACTGTTTTCTCTCAGGCGGGGGTACCCTAGGGTGTTTTCCTATAGAAAGGCCTTGGTGCAAGGCCTAGGCGGGAGTTTGCGGCCGCTGCCCTGTCAGAGGACCTCCCGGGACAGAGGAAAGGACAACCGGACCAGGCCGCAGTCCAGCACTGCACCTTCCCCAGCTTCGAGCCGGTCGCGGCCAGCGGTCTCGCAGGGCGTGCCGCGGATCTCACCGCGCGCCCCTAGACCAAACGAGGCGAGGGGCCGAGCCGGCTCCGCCCTCCCCCGCGGGGCACGGGCTCACGACCGCACCGGAGGGCCACGTCCCCAGGGACAGGCACCACTCTATGGTTTGCGTGGGGGGGGGGCGAATCCACGTGACCAGCGCCTAGCCAATCGCAGGACGGCGACCCGCCATCGAGACGATCGCGGAGGCGGCTAGAGATGCCCGCCGGCAAATCAAAGGCGCCTGTCCATCCCGGCTCAGCGCTCCGAGCTCGGTGCTGCCGCCATCTTCCTGGAGGAAGGGGCAGAGGCAAAGGGCCCCCTCCCCTTCACCGCTCCGCACTCACGCTGCCACCTGCCAGCCTCCGATCGGCTCTCAGTGTCAGTGGACACCTCATTCTTCCTAAGGAATATCCTTCCCCCAACTCTAGTTTCCCACAAAGCGAAGCATCTCATTACCTGTTCCTCTCTTATTAGCGCGAGGAAACCAAGCTCATAAGGTAGGAACTGTGGCGAAACAGGAACAAGACGCCATCTTGGTAAAGGAGAGGAGGCTACGCTTGACCTCCCCCCGCCCCCAGCCTCTATATGGCCAACCGCCGTGGGAGGGGCACAGCGCCTGCGCAGAGGTGGACGCCAGCCGGGTCTACGCTTGCGCTCTGCCGGCAGCCTCGGGGGAGGGGACTACGCGGGGCTCAGGAAGGAGTTGGCATGGGGCGGGACGGCGCGATGACGCAATCGGTTCGCGCGCGCGGCGGGGCGGGGCAGGCCCGTGCTGTGGTCCGACGAGAGTTCTCCGGCGTGTGAGTGGGTGAGTGTGTGTGGCGGTGTGTCCCCACTGTCGCGGGGGCCCCAGTCGAGCTGGCCGTCCTGAGGAATTGGCGAGGGTTCCATCGGTCGCCCCGGCTACTCGGGCCGTGGTGACGGGTGCGGAAGGGGCGCTCGTGGGGGGAGGGGCGGCCGCGCCCTTGTTCCGTGGCTCTGGCCGTGGACTCGCGGCGGGCGTCGTCCTTTCGAGGACAACTGGACGGGCGTCCCCCATCTGGGTAATCGCCCTGGCCGGGTCCAGGGCGTTGGGGCGGGCGTGGCTGGTTCCGGTGAGATTACCGCGCACGGCCCAAATGCTGTGTGGTGGCGGGTGGAGGAGTTGGGCGAGGCAGCTGTAGATTCCCATCTATGAAGCACTTCTATTTGTGTGGCCATCTTCTCACTTAACGGTGCCTTTTCGTCCCGGGAAAGTGAGGGAGTAGTAGTCAGTCACCCCGAGATGTTAATGAGGTTCCCCAATTGGAGACTGGATAATTGTATGGAGGAGGGATCTTTTCTGCTGTGGCCTTCCCCGGCGTTGTGCGATGCTAGACAAAGAACTGGAACAGTGGTAGTGACCGGGACTAGGGGACATGGAGCGGAAGCCTCTGACGGTGAGAAGCGTTGAAGTCTAACTCTGAAGCGGGTCTTAAGCCCAGACCACGCCTGGCCTTTTTGTATCTTCCGGCCTCATTTGTTAGTGCCTCTCGGCTGTATCCTGTCCTACCTTACACGAATGCCAGACTCTTATACTTAGGGCTTCTAGTTTAGACCGCTGTGGTCTCTGGCGCTGGCCTTAGCCCAGTTTGCTCCTCTTTTCTGGAGCGCAGCTACCTCCCACGTTCTCCGTCTTCTCCTTATCTGTTGTGTTAGTTCCTGCTCGTTGCTTGGTATTCAGGACTCTGGGTGACATTTCCATCAGGCGGATTAGGTGTTCCATTGACGTTTAGTATTGGGGTGCCTGTTGCATAGCAAGGGATTCAAGCCTCGGGTTCTCAAGTATTTCCGCAGTGTTAACATTTATAGAGAGGTGGTGGGGGACCGGCCCCTCGCAGCGGGTCACCCAAGGCCCTTGGCGAGTCCGTTGGTGGGTGGCCTGATTTTAGCACCTCAGATACATTTCTGAATTAGTCTTGCTAACATATGGAGGAGTAGGGTTTTGTCGAGGTCATGAAAACTTTCTTCATCATGCCTCTGATTTAAGTCTTTTCAGTGGCTTTATTTTAATAATCGCTGGTCAGGGATTCTTTGCAGTACCCAACTTTCAGACTGTCAGTGTATGCTACCAAATCTAATTTTGGTGATGATTTTCTTAATTGTAAAGTTCGTCACGTTCTATTTTTCAATTTTTCCACCTTGAGTTGTTTTTCCTCTTTACAGCTCCGTAAAGATCAAGACCTTTTAAATGAGATCAGATTCTCATTCTGGTTTAGTTGGGTAGCCTAGGGAAAGGGGGTGGGACCTCCCTCTATTATCATTCATGAGTGTAATTCAGCTCCCTTTGATTGTGGCGTTCTGCCCCAAGCTCCCTTAAGAGCGTTGTGCTGCACAATGTACTTGTGCAATCCTCCCATCTAAGAAATCTAAATGGAAGGTAGTCCAGGCACTTTATAAAAGCTCTTCAGGTTCCTAGGTTGAGAAGTCTCAATGGGGGATGGGAAGGGTGATGCATATACAAAGGTAACAGTTATGTACATGAATGGCACTTTCTATTTAGGAGTATTCCATTACTATAATGCCACTTGCAAAAATAATGTCAAAAATGCACTTTTGTTAATCTATTCATTTTTTGGATCTAATTTGGGGTGATAATCCTACTCTGGAATAAAGAAGCTGTGGGTCAAAGATAAAGAACTTACAAATAACTTAAGACATCTGAAATTTACACGTGTGAAAGAATAACAGTTTAGTTTGCTCACCTATGTTAGATGTGGAGGATTTAATCTGCACTTTGTACTAAGGCAGTATGTTAATGCATCAAGGTTTTCTCACTAAAAACCAAGTATTTTAGAAATTCAGTATTCCTCTCGCAGCTTTCATTTTGGCATTAATGGGGATATATAGTTTGGTTGGTAGAGTGCTTTCCCTGAGTGCAAGAGTCCTGGATCCCTATTATACCCCCTCACAAAACCAAAACCCTTTTTTGTTTTGGTTACTAAATTGTTAGAAGACCATTGTGGATCCAGTGGTTTGCATGTAGAGTAAAGAATTCATAGCCTGGCATGCTCCATATTGAAGAATCATTGTATTCTTCAGTTCTGTACTTCTCAGGTATTTATCCTTCTGAGTAAACACAAAGGTTATTTTACCCAGGGCTTAAAGAAGTCATACCTTACGGATGCCAGTTTATAATTGAATTAATTATACCAATTTGGGGAAACAATAATATGTTTAGCGCTTCCCCCCAAATCTTTTTGTAGCCAAGGATAGTATTGCACCCCTGTAATCCTAGCAATCAGGAGGCTGAAGCAGGATTGCCAATTCAAGGTGAGTTTTGATTACAAAGACTGTCTTAAAACCAAAAAAGAGGAAGAACCTAAAATGTGTTCTTTTGTATTTGAGTGTTTTGTTGTGTTTTCAGACATGGTTTCTTTGTTACCTATACTATTTGAGAACTCACTGTATAATCCAGGTTGGCTTCAAATCTGTAATCTTCCTGCCTCAACCTCTTGCTGTGCTACCACATGAGGTTCGATTTTCATGATTTTATTCTTGTTAAGTATTTTTCCCTATTTCTGTTTCTAAATGTTTAATGCTGTATAGAAAGAAATTTTGAATGTTGGCATGCAGCTCATTGATAGAACACTTGTCTAGCATACATGAAACTAGGGGTCTACTCCTCTAAGTACCTCTCTCTCTCTCTCTCTCTCTCTCTCTCTCTCTCTCTCTCTCTCTCTCTCTCTCTCCCACACACACACACACACACACACACACACACACGCGCATACACACACACACACAGAAGGAAATTTACAGTGTTTGAGACCTTGTCTCCCTGTGTAGTCCAAGCTGGCCTCCGGTTTGCAATCTTCCTCTTTGTTGAGTGCTGAGATTACAGCAGTGTACCACCACAGCCAGCTAGAAAGAAACTTTTGACTCATCACATACCTTTTTTTTAGCACCCAGCCAAATAAATTACCTTATTCTAAAGTTCTTTTTTTGTTCCAGCCTGACCTGGAACATCTGTGCTCATGATCCTGTGACTCAGATACCTGAGAATGAAGGCCTGTACCTCTTAGCCTGCTTTACTGTTGAATTTTTTTTTTTTTAATTGAGTCTTTCTCTTATGCAGTGCTGGTTGTCCTGGAATTCACTGTGTAGACTAGGCTGGCCTCGAACTCAGAGAGTTCCATCTGCCTCTGTCTCCCAAGTGCCGGGATCAAAGATGTGAGCCCGGCTACTGTTGTTTTGTGTTCTTATAACTCAGGTATTATGTTTTATGCATACTCAGTCCTGTCAGCAAAGTACTTTTGTTTCATGATTTTTCTTGATTCACTAATCCTAATAGGATAGTACTAAATAATAATAAAACTCAATATCTAGATCCTACTTGCATTTTGATTCTAATGAAAAAATGAGGCAGTTGAGTATTTGATTGAATTAAACAGTTATAATTAATTTTCTCTAGAAATAATAGCTTGCCATTTTTAGGAGCCTTGTGCATACTGAACTATAAATGAAGTGTGTATTTAGGATTTGCTTCACTGTAATTAGGGAAGTTGGAAATAAACTAATATTGGCCTTGAGTTGCTAATTATTGAAATTGAATAACGGTTAGTACTTGAGGGTTTTATTGTGATGTTTTTGTGTGTTCTTTAAGTTTTTCATTTGTGTTTTAAAGTAATTATGAGAGCAATGGACATTTTAAATCTTATTAGTTACTATTCAAATAGGTTTAGTATCTTTTAAAACATTATATTTAATGTGTATGAAGGTTTTGTCTAGATGTACATCTGTATATCACAATGCCTGGTGCCTAGGGAGGTTAGAAGAGGATATCAGGTCCCCTGGAACTCAAGTTACAGACAGATGTGAACTACTGTTTCATTTTTGGGAATCGAACTTAGGTCCCCAGGAAGAGAGCAGCAAGTGCTCTTTACCTGGACCATCTCTTCAGCCCCTAGTTTAAGTAATTCCATTGTTTAAGGAATAGCATTTGCTATTATCCTTGGAAACAACCCTGAATTATATTTAAGCAGTTTTCTTACTGTTTTCATGTATACTGATTGAATTTTATTTTATACGTCATCAGTATCTATATATGGCTGTAGAAGGAACTGTGGTCAGGCCTGCTTTTCATCCCACCCAGCTCCCGCATGGTTAGCTTTACACCCGAAATAACAACACACAAATTGTATTCTTTTAAACACTGCCTGGCCCATTAGTTCTAGCCTCTTACTGGCTAACTCTCATATCTTGCTTTAACCCATATCTGTGTAGCACCATGAGGTAGTGGCTTACGGGCAAGATTCTAGCCTACTTCTGGAGCATCATCACGTCTGCCTGAGGCATCTGCCTCATTGCCTTCTTCCCAGCATTCTGTTCTGTCTACTCCGCCTACCTAATTTTCTGTCCTATCAAAGGCCAATGCAGTCTCTTTATTAACCAATGAAAGTAACACATAGACAGAAGACCCCCCCCCCCATCATATGGCTTTCTCTTAATTTTTTATGTCTTATATTGGTACCTTTGATACAGTATTAGAACCATCTAATCGCTGGCAAATAGTTAAAATTTTTGTATTTATATTCATGAATGAGGTTGATTTGATGTTTGCTGGTCTTTTCTTATTGCAGGGCCCTTTCTTCCTTTCCCTTATGGATTTGTTTTTGAAATTATGCTGACTTCACAAATAAATTGGTTCACGTTCCTTTTTTCTATAATGGCTTGGAATAGTTAAATGACATTATCTCTTCGGAATTACATGCTATTTTGCTCTAATTCCATCTGGTGTTGGCCATCCACATTTTTAGTTTAGGGTATGTATGTGTGTGTTGCTTTATGGTTAGATTTTTGTTGTTTTGTTTTACATTTATGTGTTTGGTGGGAGTGAGGACATATGATCCTTGTGTTTGCTGAGATTAGTGAAGAACTTGCTGGAGCCTAGTTTTTCTTTTTGCCATGTGGATTTCTAAGCTCTAACCCTGGTATTCAGGCTGGAGGCAAGAACCTTTACCCCATGAGCTATCTAGCTTTAGTGGGCTATTATTTAGTGGCACTGGTTGTAGTTTTTGTTCTAGTTTGGTAATTTATAGTATAGAAAAGATTGTATTTGTTTATTTTGTTTCTTTTCACACTTAGTTTAAATAGTTCATGCACTGAGAGTATTGATTATAAAAAGCTGGGCATAGTAGTACATACCCTTAAATCCAGTCACTCTGGAAACAGAGACAGGCAGATCTCTAATGAGTTTGAGGCCAGCCTGGTCTACATAGCAAGTTTCAGGACAGTCAAGGCTACATAATAAGACACTGTCTCTAAAACAAAACCCTAAAAGGTAAATTAAAGTTTTCACATTTTGTTAATACCTTCAAAATGTAAGATGTGATTTTATTTAGTCCCTATTCTATAAAGCTCTGTATATCAATCAAGCACAATTGGTTGTATTATTACC